CTTCATCCTCAATTAAAACAAAAACGCTGTTCATCAGGGAACGCAAATACGACAACGTGAATTCTTTAGACCTCGCTGTCCATGGAAGGTAATTGTAATTTTTTACGATATTCAAAATATATTTCTACAGCAAGACATGAGAAATAACAGAAAAATAATAGAAAAATATAATATTATTTATTTCTTGATTTTGACCATATTTACTACTCTGCAAAATAATTTTTTTAAATATTTTAGAATTACGAATAAAAGTTTGTTAGAATTGGACATAAGTACATACATACATACACAGCCATCTATTATCTGTAGATCGCTGTAAATCAAAACCATACAATTTATAAATAAAACTTAAGAACTTAACTTCATACCATCGAATTGTTTAAACTTTAAAATGTAATTAACTCGTCGATAGCGATAGTGGTCACAGAACTTGCAGTTATCGTTATCGAGTGCCAACACATGTTCACTCCGCTTTGGCGCGTAAACAAGTAAATAAATACTATTGCTATAAACAATGCCGGAAAGCCTGATAGCCGGCATTCCGGTGCACTTCCCGTTCGAGCCGTACCCGGTGCAGCGGGCGTACATGGAGAAGGTTATCCAGTGCCTACGTGACGGCACCAATGGAGTCCTGGAATCGCCCACGGGCACGGGTAAAACCCTGAGCCTGCTGTGCTCCTCCTTGGCCTGGATCCGCACCCGCCAGTCGGAGCAGCAGCAGCAGATGATGAAGATGGAGAAGGCAGACCTACCTGGCTTCGGAGGAGGCGGAGCACCTGGTGGAGATCTCTCCGAGCTGGCCAAGACCGTGGGTCGTGCGAATAACTGGGGCGTGCCCAAGGTCATCTATGCGTCGCGCACCCACTCCCAGCTGACACAGGCGATGCGGGAACTCAAGAGGACGGCCTACTCCAATATGCGATCCGTGGTCCTGGGCTCTCGGGATCAACTGTGCATCCATCCGGAGGTCATGAGGGAGCAGGGCAACTCCAACAAGACGAACATGTGCAAGCTGCGGGTGCACTCCAAGACCTGTTCGTTTCAAATGCGCGTGGAGTCGCGAAAGGATCACCCCGATCTGCGGGGACCCACCATTATGGACATCGAGGACCTGGTCAAGGTGGGCCAGCGCCTCAAAATCTGCCCGTATTTCGCTTCCAGGGAACTGGTTGCCCAGGCGGACATTACCTTCATGCCCTACAACTACCTACTTGATCCAAAGGCTCGCAAGGCCAATAAAATCGAGCTGGGCAACACAATTGTGATCCTGGACGAGGCCCACAACATCGAGAAGATCTGCGAGGAGTCCGCTTCGGTGCAGATTAAGTCCTCCGATGTGGCCATGGCCATCGAGGACGTCACGCATGTGATGAAAGTCTTTGCCAGCGGCGAATCGCAGGACATGGGCGGCGATGAGCCCAAGGACTTCACCCTGGACGACCTCACGCTGCTCAAGGAGATGCTGCTGGAGCTGGAGAAGGCCATCGATGCCGTCGTGGTGGACAATGCCATCGATGGAACAACCTTTCCCGCCTCCATGATGTACGAGTTGCTCGGCAAGGCGAATGTAAGATGCAGTGAATGCTTAATGGGTTATTTGGGTTCCCTTAGTGCTGTAATTTGATCTATTTAATGTGGTAAAACTCTGCGGTTTTTGCAGTTATAAATAGTTGAAGAACTTTATTTCACAAGTGTAGGAAATTCAAAAACGCCCATTTATTGATTGTTGAAATTGACGTTGTATCTTCTTTTCAGTTCTCCTACGGCAATGTGGCCACAATAGTCTCCCTACTCGACAAACTGGTGCAGTACCTCCTGGTGGCCTCCCAGCAGATGAGCATCCGCAAGGGCGGCACCTTTACGATGCTCAGCGATCTGCTGACCATTGTGTTCGCCAACAAGGAGGATGTGATGAGCAAGGTGCACGCCAGCTTCAAGGTACACGTCCAGATGGAGGAGACCAAGCAGGGCCATGGAAAGCAGCAGGGTGCCAAGCAACAGGGCGGTTGGCTAGGCAAGGGATCGATTGCGGCAGCAAGTAGCTCAAGCAAGGTCGCCAAAATCATCAACTTCTGGTGCTTCAACCCCGGCTTCGGCATGGAACAGTTGCTCAACACCCAGGTGCGCAGCGTAATCCTCACCAGCGGCACACTGGCACCTCTCAAGCCACTGATCGCCGAGCTGGCCATTCCTGTGGCCCAGCATCTGGAGAATCCGCACATCGTTGACCATTCGCAGGTGTACGTCAAGATCATCGGCACTGGACCCGATCGCCAGCAACTGATATCCAACTATACCAACCGGTGAGCATTATTTAATCAATCATATCATACTTCTTTAACCTTAATCTCTATTTCTTTGCAGTGATAATCCAAAGTACATCAGCTCCCTGGGCCAAACGATCCTAAATGTATCGCGGATAGTGCCCGACGGCCTGCTTGTATTCTTCCCATCGTATCCCATGTTGAACAAGTGCGTGGACGCCTGGCAGGCGAGTGGATTGTGGGCGGACATATCGGGCAAGAAACCGATCTTCCTGGAACCGCGCAGCAAGGATCAGTTTACCAGCACAATGGAGGAGTTCTACCAGGCGATACGTGACTCCAAGGGCGCCGTTTTTATGGCCGTGTGTCGAGGCAAAGTCTCCGAGGGTCTGGATTTTGCCGATCGCAATGGTCGGGCGGTGATCATCACAGGCCTGCCCTTTCCACCCCTTAAGGATCCCAAGGTGATACTGAAGCGTCGCTATCTGGAGGCGAATAGGACGCGGGAGAACCAGCTACTCAGTGGTCAGGAATGGTACAATCTGGATGCCACGAGGGCGGTGAATCAGGCCATCGGTCGTGTGATCCGGCATCGCAACGACTATGGTGCCATTCTGCTTTGCGACTCGCGGTTTAAGGACGCCTCCCAGGTGCAGCAGCTGTCCAAGTGGATTCGGGGTCACCTAGGCGACCGACCGCAGTGCTCGCCCTTTGGCCCCATCGTCAGGGAGCTGCGCCAGTTCTTCAAGAACGCCGAAGCCAATGTGAGTGTGCAAAAGAGATTTATTCTATTCCATGGTGTTAATGAAGTACTATAAAATTTTTAGATGAAACAACCGGATGAGCGGGAATCGGAGCCGCCTTTGGAAACGGTTTGCAAGACCGAGGATGAGCCACTAGCTGCCATTCCTAAGATTAAAAGGGAGCCCGGCTCCAATGCCACCTTCAAAGCCGCCCATGAAACGGCCATGTATGTACCAGTTGATTTGAGATTACTAGGTTTAATGGTAATTAATATATTTTTTTCCTTCACAGCAAAGTGGAGATGGCCAATTCCATAAAGACGTGGACGCCCGCCGATTATGCCAGTGCCGCTGGACGAAAGCTGGGTGGTGCGGCGCCCAATGCCATGGACTTCATGAGCCGCCTGGACTCCAATGTCTCGGTAAGCACGAGGCTCCCACGAAAATGTCATTGTTCTTGAAGAAATATCTCCCCCTTTCCAGAGTATCGACTTCAACTGCTGCATGGATAGCAAAAGTGGCTCCTCTGACTTGGTTAAGATTCATAAGCGGGAGCGAAGTTCACCAACGACGCAGGAAACTTCCAGTCAGGTGGCCAAAAAGCGATACAAACTTGTGGAGAACATCAAGGTGGAGCCGAGCAGTTCGCAGGTTAAAGTGGCGCCTGAATCAAGGGCTGATTTCCTGCGGGAGGTGGGATATACTATATATTGGAGATTTTCGTTCCACTTCTAATTTTATATGACATACTTTTCAGCTCCGCAGCTTGGTCAACCAGGATGAGTTCCGTCGCTTCGGCAAAGCCCTGCTGGAATACAAAAATGGCAGCTATGAGAGCTTCCAGGCCTTGATGCCGATACTGCTAGAGATCCTTTCCGCACCCAAAATGCGCTACATGCTAGTCGGAATGCGGAAATACCTAAAGAACGAGCACAAGAACGAGTTCGATCAGAGGCTGGCCAAACTGTAACTTATTTGTGGTGATTTTTTAAAACAGTTGCGAAATTTACACATCCGTAGGATATGCTTGTCTAAGTATTTTTGATATTGGCTGTATTTTTTTTTTAGTAATTAATGGGGACAATTATATTTTTACAATACCTACAAATAAAAATAAATAATGCTATGCATCGGGGTACATTGTATTTGAATTTTTTTTATTAAAGATATTTGTTATAAATACAATTTATATTTTTATAATAGACGAATAAAAGTTATTTTTTTGGGAAAAAAATTAAGTATGTATATGAATATGATTTGGATATGTTTAAAAAATATATATTAAAATATATCCTCTTTGTTTATTTCGGATCAAGATAGATTTTATGAAAGGGTTTACGCTTATTGGAAATTAAAATCAGAACTAGAATTCCCTTAGTGATAAACTGATGAGCTTTAATAAGCTTTCAATCAAATTCGATAGCTATTACAGCGTGTTCTAAGAATCGTTGGGTTTAACAGAGAACACAATAAATAATAAAAGCTAAAAGAGTTTGTCAAAGCGCTATGACATATGAATTCTTAATGTATGACTGACTGAAGAGAAATGGGTCTATCATAGATATATCCTATAGCTCGCATATATTTTTAATATATATACATATATTCAATTAGGATTAATTTAATCAAATGTCATATGACATTACGAATGTTAAATTATAAAACCTAAATTTTCTATTAAAACAAATATGTATTTATGTAATTTTATTATTATTTCTATACTTATAGGTCATACATATAATTTGCTAGCTTTTTTATATATCCGTAAATCATTTTTTCCTTTTTATGTATTTAACAACTCCGTAGGGACATTTATTTTTGAGTTGGCAGCCCGCTTGGTAACAAATCTGCGAATTGCAGCCAGCGCAGTACGCATCCAATAAGTTCATTGCCAAACGGGCCGAGTCCCTGTATGCACAGCCACATCCCCATCGGGTGGCGCAGTCCGCAAAATCAGGCCGAGTGCAGCGAGAATGCGGGTCCGAGTGGCTCCGACTTCGGACTTGGGGAGGCACTCGCGTGGCAACTATCGTCCAGGGCGCACGGCACACACGCAGAGCTGCCAGGAGGAGACAGCCATAGCTTCTGGGGGCCCACCATCCATACCCCCGATCCAAGTCCGGACCCACAGACGACCCGCTGATCCATCCATCCGCCTCATATAATTTCCGGCGCTTTGATTGGGGCACGCAGTAAGTTGATTGCATTTGCCACGCCAGAGCCTTTGACCATCCCCCGATTGCTGTTTGTTATTTGCAACAAGTAACACGAGTGGGTGGGTGGTGGTGGTGGGTTGGCGTCGGCGCTGACGCAGGGGGTGGTGGGTGGTGGTTCGGCCCACGCAACGACCTTGGCCTGGTTTAGGCACTTGCCTTAATTGCATTCTGTCGTCATCGCAGCGCACATGGTGGAGGAGATTGGCTGCCAGAGACAGACGGGCATTGTGGTCGCCATGCCCAGCCAGGTGGCAACGAGCACCGGAACTCCAGCCCCATCCGCAGGCGGCATTCACCAGCAGCAGCAGCAGCAACACCAGCAACAGCAACACCAGCAGCAGCAACATCAGCAGCCACAGCAACATCAGCAGCAACAGCAACACCATCAGCAGCAGCAACTCCACCAGCAGCAGCAACAGCAACACCATCAGCAGCAGCAGCAACACCATCAGCACCAGCAGCAGCAACACCAGCAGCACCAACAACTCACCAGCAACATGAGCCTGCTGACCGTGAAGGGCGGTCGCTACCTTTGGACCGATCGGGAGCTATTGATGCACCTCCAGAACTACACTCCATTGATCCTTCTCATCGATTTCGTGGAGAAGACACGCACCAAGCGATTTTACGAAAGCTCCGAGCGCTACGAGATCCTCATGCTGGTCTTCATTATGCGCAAGGGAGCGCCATTCTGTGAGAACAAGCGCTTTCCGGCGGAATACTGGGTTAATCTGTCGGTGGGACCAATTGCCGAGGCTTTCGACCGACTGCAGGCGGCCATTGATATACCGGATCCCCAGCTACCGATCCACATGAGCGTCACGGATTTGACCAGCTGGAAGCAGATGTTTGATTTGGCCATGCTGGATATCAGGCGATTTGCGTACTACACCGATCCCTTGCAGCTGGCCGATGCGGGTGTCTTTAATCGGATCACCTTTGAGCAGCGATTCGGAATGCAGTGGCAGGAGTAGTTTTAATCGATACAGGTAACAGGTTATATGTATGTCACGGAAAACAGGATATAAACACAGCCCCAGCACCATACACACTTCCCCACATTTGGATGGATCGCGAGGAATAACTGGTGGTTATACTGAGAACTAACCTTAGATCATTTAACATGCCTGATTTATTAACAAATATGTTTTATGTTTAATAGTAATCGTGTCAAAGTACAACATTCTTTGGAGGAAATATTAAAAACAGGCCTTTTTTTTTATCTTGCTTTAAGTTTACACCTTTAAATGGTCTAAAAAGTAACAGGTCATGCAAATAATCAATCTGTTTAAAGATATTCGAGTATAAATACGTTTTTCTTTTCGAAAATCAAAGTTCATTCATTATATTATAAGTAATGCCAAGGAATTTAAACTAAACCTTTTCTGAAAGCATTTAATTAAAGATGGCATAAACTGCTCAAAATAATTCCCCAAAAAAATGAATTTTAAACCGAAACAACCGATCCATCCAATCCCACATAGACAGAGTTATTTGTTGCGTTACAAACCCTGCATAGCGGAATCTACTGTGCCTTCTCCACCACTCCTGGTCTTCCCTTTCCTCCACCACAGTTCCACTCGTATTCCTCGCAACTCCTTCAACTTCAACATCATCTATCCTCAGACTCCTCAAATGTATCTGTAATACAATCGCTGTACTGTCGACGTAGGACCCAAAATGCTTTAATGGAAATAAACGTTAGTTACTGTTCAATCGAGTTTTTATCTTTGTAAAATTGTGATACATCCTCAACGTGCATTACTTACTATAAAAACTATTATGTACAGTTTAAACTACGGCTAAGTTCTTAATTAGACATCGACGAGATCTTCGGTGGTCCCATTTACTGGGATCGAATGATCGTGGCTCACGGCTGCCGCTTGGGAAGGCGGTCTCGGTCGAAGATGCCCAGCAGCTTTCCTCGGGTCATCTCCTTCGCCTCACGCAGGCCCAGCTGATAGATCTCATCATGCATCGACTTTATTTTATCGATCAGCTCTTCGGGACTGAGCAGGGATAGTTCTGGATGGGAAGGGAAAAAGTATTTAATGGAATCTCCTTGAATTTTATACAAAAATATGGGATGCTTTCAACGCCGACTTGTTTTTAAGTTATCATAACATCTATTATATGTTTTGGTAAGGTAACCAAAAGGTAAATCAGTCTTGTAAACAAACTTCTCTATAGTTCTTTAACAGTGACATATGTATATATGTAAATAGAGACCTATCTTTAAGCAAAAACCTAGAGAAAACTACCTTAAAACTGGGAATCTTTTATCTGAAATATTTGTATATTATATTTCATTCAATACCGAACTACAAATACACAACTAAACAGACGTATCCTACTAAATACATCCTAAATCACCTTAGGAACCATACATTTTATGATATTAACATATACAGAACCCAAACATTGGAGAACTGCACTACGTATACCTTCCCCCATATGGTGTTTATATGGGCTACTCACGATTGATCTTGGCCATGTCCTCGCTGGTCAGGTTGTTGGCGTAGTCCGTGGTGCGCGTATAGATGGGCGTATCGCTCATGGTGAGGAACTCGTCCATCCCGGGAACTGGAGCACCCAAAACAAAACAAAAAGGCGTTAAAAATGGCGCCAATTGACGAGGTGCACACGTTTTTTACACTCACATCGCTCCGGCCATTGGACAGGTGAGGCGCGCAGCGTCTCCATGGAGATGAGCTCGTCCTCCGGCGTTTCGGGCTTCTCCTTGCCCTCGGGAACCTCCTCTCCGGCGGCTAACGTGCTCCTACTGTCCGCCGGAGCATCGGCCACCTCCTCGCCCGCTTTCAAAACGGTTTCTGCAAGAAAAGAGCTATTTATTTCACTTTTCATGTGCTGTTGACTTTCGCCCACCTGGCGCAAACAATTCCACAGCTTGCTCTGCGTTGCTCATCTTAAAAAATCTACAAAACCGCCGAAAAACGTAAAAAAAATAGAAAAATTTCAGAAATCCGTGGGCTAATCACTTGCCACCTGGTTGAATAAAAAATGCAGCGTTGCCACCCGATAGTTACGGCTATCGCAGACTATCGATTTATCGGTTACCAGTGCTGCAAAGCACTTGTAGTTATTAATCATTTCATATTTTTGGTAAACAAAGGGCTGTTGTTTTTGCTTTAGTCTGTTTATATTTATAAAATTTATAAATAAAATGCAAAACAAGCAGGAAATAAAAGTGTCTTGATTAAATTTAAATTCGGAGTGGAGAGCAGCAAAGCAACGGGACCCTCCCCGCCACCTCTATTGTGCTCTCTCTTCCACGCACGGTCGACTAACGGCGCATAGAGACAACTCTGCGCGAGGTCGTCAAGCTCTCTTTCGCTCTCGCGCCAAAATAGCACTTGGCACACTTCGTACAGTGCAGCCGAAAAGTATGTACCCGCCGAAAAGTATGTGCCCGCCAAAAAGTAAATGTGGCCAAGTTCTTCAAATTACAGATGGTATATTTCTTATTTATTTTAAAAATATCATATGAATCATAATTTATTTGTTAGCTTTTGTTTAAAACAATGTTTATATTTTCTTTCTTGCTTTGTTATTAGGTCTACTTTACAATTTATCAAACTACAAATTGCGTTTACAAGAAAATACCATTATTTGATGTGTAAAAATAATGACACAAAAATCTTTAAAAATGTATTTTTTATTTAAATGCTTTTTAGTATCATGCTTATGAGCTTAAAGATCAATGATAAAAGTTAAAATATGTGATTTCTAAAATAGGCTTGTTTTTATTCTGCAGTTTTTTTGTAATTATGTGATTTATAAAATAAGCTTGTTTTTATTCTGATAAATTCATTAATTATTTTTATTCCGTAGTTGCTTTTGTAGTTATGTGATTTATGAAATAATCACTATTATTATGTAGTTTTTTTTAGTTATGTGACTTATAAATTAAGCTTTTTAGTGCTGTAGTTTTTTATTGCCTATCTCAGAGATTAAAGATTATATTGTAAAAGTTTTACAACCACCGTTATGGATTCAATTTGAAAGTCTGAAAATGTAAAGTTTGTGGGGCGCAGACTTTTCCGCAGCACTGTGTGCCCGTGCGCGCTCGCACTTTCTTTCTGTTTTCAGTCGCTGCTCCGCTCTCACTCTGTCCACACGCCACACACACACCCGCACTCACCTGTTCCACTCCCCCGCCCCCCTCTTTCGACCTTACTGCGACCGCGACCGCTCCCGTTCCGTTTCGTCGTTTTTTTTTCTCGTTTCGATTCAGTTGCCGTTTTAACTCCGCGCGAGAAGCGGAAACTTTTGTTGGTCCGCTGTGGAAATCGAAAAAAAACGAAAATTAAACGTTGCAGTGCTGCAACTCGGAACCCCATCGTATCGTTTGGCGCCAAATTTTGAATTGCATATCCGCTGGCGGATTGATTTGACCCAAAGTTTTCCTTCCCGCCCCCCGCGAATTTTCAACACCCCGCGCTGCGACTCCCATGGCAGCTAGCAAATTCCATTGCGGCAAGCAAACGATAGCCACACATTCACATTTCGATGCGACATGTGCGAAAATCCGAGCCTTTTACTTTGACCTGGACAACACGTTGATTCCCACGCGGACCGGCGATTCCAAGGCGATCAGAAAGGTAAGTTGAGTATTAAGTGAGTCCAACTCGACCCGGAAAAGAGCCAACTTAAAACCCCCCTCCCAGCCCCAACGTTGTAAACCATGCTTTTCCGGGGGGTGAAAGTGCGCAGCACAGCTAGAAAATTTTCCACTGCAGCCCGCCCGTTGTTACGTAGTCGAAAAACCCGGACGCTCAGCTGATAGCACGCGCCCGAAATTCGTTTGTTTATTTGCGTTTTCCTCCTTTACCCGCCCCATCCCAAATACCAAGTGCACTCTACAAGGCCTTAACTTAAATATAACCACGGGTATATGCACTCTAGAAGGCTGTCGGCATGATAAAAACAAAAATAAATCGAATTAACTCAAAAGTATCACTGGGACTTGGGGAACTTTGGTTCAAGGATTGATAACAGGCACTTTAAAGGATCTTAAAATATACGTATTATGATAGGAAATGATAAAAGCTTAAATACAACCAAAGGTTTATGCTCTCTAGAAGGCTGTCGGCATGATAAAAACAAAAATAAATCGAATTAACCCAAAAGTATCAGTGGAACTTTGGTTCAAGGCACTTTAAAGGATCTTAAAATGGACATGTTATGATAGGAAATGATGACAACTTAAATATAACTACAGGTTTATGCACTCTAAACGCCTATAAAAACAAAAATAGATCGAATAAACCCAAAAGTATCAGTTGAAATTGAGGAACTTTGGTTCAAGGAATGATAACAGGATCATTTCATGGGAATATTATGATAGAAAATTATGATATATGCACTGTACAAGGCTGTCGACATAATAACAACAAAAATAAATCGAATAAACTCAGAAGTGTCAGTTAAAACTGAGGAACTTTGATTCAAGGAATGATAATAGGCACTTTAAAGAATCAGTTCATGGTGATATTATGATAGAAAATGATGATAACTTTAATATAACCACGGTGTATTCGTTTTAGAGGGCATTATAAAAACAAAAAAAATCGAATATACCAATAAGTATCACTTAATATTGAGTAACTTTGGTTCAAGAAACGAAAACAGGAATTTGAAAGGACCTTATCGTAGGCATATTATGATAGGAAATTATGATATGATTACCACAGGTTTATGCACTCTATACGGTTATCAGCATGAGAAAAGCTAAAAATACATCAGAGTTACTTTTGAAATTTCGAAACTTTATTATTGGTTATTTTATAGGTGCTTATCACAAGCATTTTATGAGTTGCAACTGAAATATAACCAGAAGAAAAATAAATTCCCAAAGAATGGAACCCAAACAAGTCAAAGATTAATTGATGATAACTTAAATATAACAATGGGTATATGAACTGTAAGAGGTTATTGACATCCTAGCTATGATAACTCACAATACGAGACCGAAAATCTTTACACTTCGAATATTTAAGTGGAGCTAAAAATAAAAAAATTTTTTTCTTAGTTCGTAACTTTAATGTAAATATAGTGGATTAGATTTCAAAACTCGAAGAAGAAGTAAAATGAAATGCATACATAGTTAAAAGTACTTACAAATTACGTGAAATTGGCGACTTTTTATATTATAATATAATAATAATATATATTTATATTTATTTATTTTTTTTTAATTTTGAATCGTATTTCTTTAGAATGTAGGGCAAAATCCGGTAAACAAAAGGCATGTCTTAGCTTTTGAAATCAAGAAAATATTGGTACAACTGGCCCATAAATATCCTGTTATCTTCATTTCACCGTAAAAGAAGCTTACCTTTAAAAAAAAGAAAGTTATTCGTTAAAATGTTGAGTATGTCACGTACATTTACTTATTATTCTCATGACTGATAATATAATAATCTTTTGGGCTGTGCTAATTCAGGTAGGTAACTTCATTATCACATTTACGTTTAAAAGTGCTTTGCTAGAGACCCTAAATAAAGTCATGGTTATTAGACAGTTTATTTATTCAGTTGTTTTCAATTACTATCTGGAGGAACCGCACCCATTTATATTTATATTTCCGAAATTCATTAACCGTATCAAGTAGTTTGAGGCAATAAGAAGTTTTTCACTTTTGCTGATCAAGCTTAACTTGTTATTTTTTCAATGACTTTTTTTTTCTTGATTCTGATGGAAAAAGTTGAATTCAATTAAGGGTATTTCCCACAACTGTTGGAAAAAAAGATAACCAACGGAAATTTCCGTATTATCTTTCCGCCCATAGCTGTAGACCCATTTATGGAGTATATAATATAGAAATGACATGTGTTCGGCGGCGGTTGCAGTTTGATGATCAAGGCACTGATAGGGCTATGCTATAATGATTACGGCATTACGTATGATTAATCAATTGGTTCCGATTCGATCGGATGATTGGAATTAAGTTTTATTGAGATATTTATGGTCGCAATAGTTGGGATTTACGTATTACTAATTGTTTGAATCGGTGTTGTACTCAACAATATTTACATTTCTTTCATATAAATCAGTTACTTGATAAAAATAAACTGTTGTCGTACAAAGAATTGAGAAAAATGCAATCCTGGTACGGAAATATTGATATCCCTCGCCATTTATAATTAAAAGTTACGCCTTTAAATCTCAAAATGAAAAAGCTTCCCGCCAAATTTTTCTGTATATCCGCACCTGATACCATCATTATTCTTTAAAAATGTAGTAAACTTTTACCAAAGTTCATAGAAAAGACTGTTAAATTTTTAAGAGAATTAAAATTCATAACTTATCTCTTATCATAAATTATATTTATAGTCCTATCTCCAACTGGTAAAGTTTTGCGACATTTTCTTATCTATAAAGCGTATAGATCAATTTCATTGATATTTTTTAAATTTCACTTTAATTACATAAGAAGACGATTTTCAACTTATGCGATATTTTAACGGACGTTTTTGCTTATCCAAAGTCTTACGCTTTGTTGACATTAGCATATATGTAAAGTTATTATATTATATTTTTTAATTTTGGCTCAAATTTGGAAAAGAAAATAATGAAATCAATATTTAACATCAATATTTTTTTATTTTATCCCAGCTTGCCGACGTTTTGGAGAGTCAGTACCAGTTCAGCAAAGATGACGCCGCTCAGTCCACCCAGAACTTCCTGAAGGCCTTCCGGCGTTGTCCGGACAACTCGCAGACATCGCTGGACTCGTGGCGCACGCACCTGTGGCGCGAATCCCTTCCGGCGCGTCACAAACACCTGGCGGAGCAGATCTATCCGCAGTGGCTGAAATTGCGTTATCGTTATCTGGCAGTTCCGGCGGATTATGTCCAACTATTGCTGCGGATGCGTCAGGCGGGCTATGCCCTGGCCCTCATCACCAACGGACCATCGAAAGCCCAGTGGGAAAAGGTGGCCAAGTTACATGTACGCGGCTACTTTGACTGCATCCTGGTCTCCTCGGATCTGCCGTGGGAGAAGCCGCATCCGGAGATCTTCAATGCCGCCTGCTATTTCCTCAAGGTCAAGGCGGAGGAGTGCGCCATGATTGGCGACAAACTGGAGACGGACATTATGGTGGGTTAAGAAGGTTTTATTACCTGTAGCCAACTAACTGGGCTTCCTTTTGCCTTTCAGGGTGGTCACTTGGCCCAACTGGGTCTCACCTTCTGGACGCCACTAAGCAATAGCAGCTCAGCGTCGCAATCGCTGGAGGATGTGGAGTACAAGCCGCATGTAAAGCTGGCTAGCCTGCTGGAGATGTACAAGTACTTCCCGCGCCTCAATGCCGTCGCACCACCGGACACGCCATCGACCTCCAGGCGACGTGGCAGCCACATGAGTCCCAGTGGCCAGAGCTTCAGTAGCGGGAGCAGCTCGAGCTCGAGTTGCGAGCCAGGCAGTGGTCATGGGTACCATCACCATCTTTACCAGCAGCAGCTACAGCAGAGACCGCGACCTTATCGACGCGGCACTTCAATGCCCGCCATGGATTGCTCCAATAGCGAGGCGGAGAACAGCTGCGACAGCTTCCTCTAGACGGAGCAAGGGAGGAAGGATCCAAGGGATCGAACGGATCAGAACGGATCGATCGGGAGATTGTTGAAAAAATGTACCTTCAGTTTACAAAACTATAGCTAAAGAGGATCGTAGAGAGGAAGTAATAATCACAGATGGACAAAGGACAGCCAGGAGAATTGGAAACGAATGCAGGAATACAAAGTTCAACTATTAGCGGGAGGAGCCCGGAAACACGGTGAATCTCGATATCTGCCATTAGACTAAAATTAAGGCTAGCTAAACAGCATCGGAGCACACAAACTACAGCATACAAGCAGAGTAACTAAGAAATCGAGGACAGGAAGCAAAGCAAACCAAATGTATTTTTCTAAGCGAATTTTCTGTCACATATTTTGTAAATTGATATAACACGCAACTAAAAGTACGTCAAGGTAAACGCAAAATATAAAAAAAAGTGAAAACGATAAAGTAAATCAGGCAAAAACCACAACACGAACCTTTTGAGACACTGGCGAACCAAAAAAAAAAAAGAAAAGAGAAGGAAAAATAACAAATCTGTAGTTATAGCATGGCGATGGATGTACGTGAATGTTAACTATTGTCTTAGTCGTAGCCTTTAGTCGGGTAACACTCTGTTGGCAAATTGTTATTTGCAACCACCACCTCCTCCCCCTTAACCCACGTTCCCACCCCCATGTCCCGCCCACAAGCCCCAGGTTATTCCGCACCCACAAGAAAAGCATCGTTGATGATATAGATGGTATATATGCCACCACGCGCATGTTGAAGCACTGTTGATCATGGATATGGAAAATAAATGACACTGCAAAGCTAAGCCTAAATGAGTTTTCATTATTCTAAATAACTAAGGCAACAATTTTGAGGTAATTATACCCGTTACTCGTAGAGTAAAAGGGTATACTAGATTCGTCGGAAAGTATGTAACAGGCAGAAGGAAGCGTTTCCGACCCCATAAAGTATATATATTCTTGATCAGGATCACTAGCCGAGTCGATCTAGCCATGTCCGTCTGTCCGTCTGTCTGTCCGTCCGGATGAACGCTGAGATCTCGGAAACTATGGGAGCTAGGCTATTGAGATTTGGCGTGCAGATTCCTGAGCTTCCTACGCAGCGCAAGTTTGTTTCAGTAGACTGCCACGCCCACTCTAACGCCCAGAAACCGCCCAAAACTGTGGCTCCTACAGTTTTGATGCTAGATAGAAAATTTTAACTGAAATGTAATGTTCTCATCAATACCTATCGATTGACCCGAAAAAAAGTTTGCCATGCCCACTTTAACGCCCACAAACCGCAAAACCCTGTGACGCCCACAATTTTCATGCTAGATAAAAAATTTTAACTGAAATGTATTGGTCTCGTCAATACCTATCGATTGATCCAAAAAAAAATTTGCCACGCCCACTCTAACGCCCATAACGCTTAAATCTGTATACCGCCGGTAGGTGGCGCATTTTAATCTCGCTTTGCTGCTTGCATATCTCCATATAGCTGAGTAACGGGTATCTGATAGTCGAGGTACTCGACTATAGCGTTCTCCCTTGTTTTACTTTGAAATCGCATTATAATAGGTGAACACATATATGTATTTCACTTTGAAATCGTCTTATATCGGGTCAAATCAGGTTTTGTAATTTAATCGGGAAGAAAAAACATTAAATTTTTTTTGAACGCAAAGATTTTAATAATACACTTTTAGAGAAAAGCCCGTATTAAATCGTGAAACTATGGGTTAAGAAATCTAGAAATATAGGTTCTTGTGCATACTCATTATTCAAAAACTTGGAATGGGCTTTACTACCAAAAATAGGTACATACTGCTTAAATTAGAAGTGGGAATACTCCTTTTATGAAACTACTGTAACAGGCCGTTTATTACAATAGTTTCATAGAGGGAGCTGTTTTTTTTTTCAAAAGTTCAAGGCCCTACCCCCTTAAAAAAAACCTTTAAAGAACTTATTCTAACATTAAGCTATTAAACTATTGTCTGTCCAAAATATAAATATTGATACAAAATATATTATGTTTATACTGTCGAAATTTATACCTTAAAACTTAAATTTTGATCTGTAATCTTGCATCTCTTTCTAAAACATGCACTACCAAAAGATCAAAGTCAATATCGTCCATTGGATTTTCCATATAAATTAAGTTAAAACACTTTATTTTTTAATCATAGTAAAATAAGCTTGATTTGTTTTTTATTTATTTGGGGGATTTTGTTGTTTATAGACTACAAATACGCTATACGGTAAAATGGTATATCGCTTGCAGAGTCAGCAAATAAAAGTTATAACCAACACTGAATTTTTCGCAGTTTAATGCTAACGTCAACTGGCTGTATAATTGTTTGTTGTTTTTCTCCTCACATATACCATACATACATATACACACGGTTATACATATACATATATAATTATAATCAAAGTCACGTACACGTTAAAAAAAAATCGGTTACAAATTACACGTTTCAAAAAAAGAGTCGAAAACGAAACAGTTTCACGCGATACCGAGGCATATTGAAAATTCGGCTGGCTAGCTAGGCTTGCTCTTGGCTTTTCTTAAGTTCGATATTTTTACGCTTTTAGTTTCCTTTCAAAAAAAGAGCACTTTTCAGACTACAAAATACCCTAAGAACCCTTTACTGGAAATGGATTATACATAGATAATGGACAAAAAGAATAAGAAAACGTAACGTAACATAACATGGAGTAGTTGTTTTGTAAAGGTTTGTTGTTATCGTAGTAGTTAATAGCAGTTGATGCTGTCGTCGTAGTATAGTAGTAGTAGTAGTTATCGTTTCTGTAAAGCATTGTACAACTTTTCCGCTTAAGTGTTAATCCGATGGTTCACCCATCCTACGTCCTACGCCCATCTCACTCCGCGATTGGCCGTGTTAGTTGCTCTGGCTTTCCCGATTAGTTGCGTGTCGCATTGAAGATCTCCTCGATCTTTTTCCTGCGCTTCGTGAGCAGCGGATTGTTCGACTTGTCCAGCGCCTTGATTTGCATCTGAAAAATAGGTAATGATACGGATTAGTATAACAATACTGGGAGAAACTGAGATCAGAAATAATTAACTATTTTAATTCATACAATTGTTATTTTGAATTGGTTGGAATAAAGCTTTAGTATTAGGTACAAATCAAGGTATTCTAGGCACATTCACCTCCTAGTTCCTTGTTAGTTCTTATAATTAGTGACTTTCCAAATCACGATTAAAACAAAAGAGAGCAAAGAACAGTATACTTGCTAATTGCCTAAGTATATACAAATTGAAATCTATTTTCCCATTGTATAAACAAATGAACAGCAAGGCGTACACACTTAATATATTTTATATAATAGAATCAGCTGGTTAAGAGAACAGGAACCCCAAGAAGATGCCAGCCAGGAGCGAGACCACCCACCTGATCGTAGTCCACGCGCATGGTTGCCAGCGAGCGCGTCATCTCCTCCTGCACCTCCGGCCAGGTTTCTTCGCCCTCCTTGAGCATCCGACCCGTGCAAAGTGGCGTCTGTGGAACGGCATTGAACTGGGCGATCCACTTGTTGCGGATGACGTCCTGGATACGCAAACGCTTGCTGGGATCCACGTTCAACATGCCCTTGATCAGATCCTTGGCCGCTGGGCTCACATTCGTCCATTCCGGATCGGGGAAATCGTACTGGCCGGTGCGGATGCGTTTCTTCATGCCGGGCGAAATGGCCATACCGTTGTTGCTGTAGAACGGCGGGAATCCGCACATAATGATGTACATCACCACGCCCAGCGACCAGATGTCACAGCTCTTGTCATACTTCTCAGGACCCAAAACTTCAGGAGCTGGAAAAAATATGTATTGTTAAAATAGGAATATTCAGGAAGTAACAAAAGAGTATTTCTAAGGACTTAATAACTTATTTTAAATAGTAGAATATTGTTTTTTATAATCTTCTCATATTTTATCGATTGAATACTAAACAAACGTATAAGCAAACGTTTCCATCATATTTTTTTTATTTCTATCGAAATAAGTCGGTCGCACTTTGCAACTTTCAAACAATTCTTTCGCAATGAGATTGGGAACAAGGCTGAATAAAATTAAAGAGACTATAAAGAAAGTTCGCACAATAAATTATAAAACGAGGGTGCAATAGAACGACTCTATGAAGAATTAAAAACAACTAGTAGTTAACTTAGAATCATAGAGTATACCTATTTTAGCTTTTACTATCAGCACTGAGCTATACAAATATAAATCAAATTAAGGCCATGCAATTTCCGGCCTCAAAAATGACACAGCACAGTTCTAAATAGGTGAACAGTGGATTTTAACAATTTAAAAGCAATTTTTCGTGACTAATGCCGTAATTGACATGCTGTAAAGCTAGTAACTGATGTGAAATCCCTGCCAGAAGCACTCACCCACGTAATAGGGGGTGTAGCAGGGCGTCTGCAGCGTGTCATTGGAGAATGTCTCCTTGGCGAAGCCAAAGTCCGTCAGCTTGAGGATCGCATTCGGCTGTGAGGTGGTGTACAGCAAGTTCTCCGGCTTGAGGTCGCGGTGTGCGATATCGCGACTGTGCAGATAGTCTATCGCCGCGCAGATCTCGTGCATTATTTGGGCCGCTTCGCGCTCCGTGAAAGCACCATCGGCCTTGTCCTGAATCCTCTGGAAGAGCTCACCGCCCTCCATGCACTCCATGACCACCAGGAGGCACTTCCTGCCGCTATAGGTGTTCTCGTACACATCGATGATGTTCACAATGTGCCTGCATCCGCTGACCCGCCAATGGAGATCCACCTCGCGGCGCGCTTTCTCGTTATCCAGCAGCACCTTGAGGGCATAGTTCTGTTTGGTGCGGCGGTGGGTGCACTGCACCACCTTTCCGTTGATCCCGAGACCCAGTACCGTGTCCGAGATCTCGTAGTCGTCCACCAGGGGGGTGGTCTTCGGTTGCCGTTGGTTCTGCAGCGAAAGCATTCTGGAATCGGCTGGTCTTTATCTAACTGCAAAAGGGAGATGATCAGTAAAATACGATTAATGGGGTTTTAATTGTTGGTCTACTTGAAAACATACTTCAAATAGTTGATAAATGTAATGAATTCTTTAAAATATATTTTAAATTTATTTAAAATTGGTCTTTAACCAGTAAGCTAATAGTTTCCAATTTGTTTTTAGTTTGTATTTACATTTTTGAATTTGTTGATAATTGAATATCAATTAAAAAACACTAACGATTCAGAACTATTCTAAACTGATTTTACTTGTATACTCACAATTTGCACAATAATTACGATGCCTTAAAAATATTTTTATTTTGTATTTAATTGTTATTTAACTAGTAAGCTAATCGTTTCCAATTTGTTTTCATTTAATCATAGCTTAATAAACTTTGAATTTAGTTTGACAGTAATTATAGGCCTGATTAAGTACTAAATAATCTATTTCTGATTCAAATATTAAACTCTAGCAAACCGTCATAGTCAAACAGCAACTTATATTTGCATATATCATAATTGCAATACCCTTTCCACATATTAATGTGTAATAGAAAACCATTTTTGGTTAACATTTATAGCCAACTTATTTGTTTATCGATTTTTTTGTTCCTTGAAGCTCTCAAAAAGTAGCTGCTCCAAAGCAATACATTTTTTATTATTATCTTTCTAAAAAGTCTAATATAATGCTGGCTATAAATGTAAAGTTCAGTTAAGCAGGCATAAGGCAATAGAGCTTTTTAATTACTGGCAATTTAGTTTGCCGATCGAATTGTTAAGGGATTTCCGCTCTATTCCACTGCTTCCCTTTTACTCTAGTTTTTTTTTTTTAACCCATTACATCAGTGTTTTGAGACCTCATTTTAAATAAAATAACCGATTTGCCATACAAAAATGGTTTGGTACTCTTTACTTAAGTTTAAAATAATTATATGCGATTTATTTTAAAATTTGGAAATATATCCATGACAAAATCCAATTTTCCACATTCAAAGATTCTTATAGATTATTTCCCGTGGATTCGTGAGGTAGATATGATAAGGAAAATTCTAAACTTATGATAAGGATACATACTTTCTAACGTTGTTTAAAGATCAAACTTATATCAACCGTTGATATGTATTACGATTTCCCTATAAGATGGGTATATTTTTTAAAGTGTAGGCAACGAGAATAAGAAGTTGCACTTTTTGTTCTCCAGGTTTTATGTAGAATATATATACTTAGAATATGCAGATTCGAAAACCTCGAAGAGCTCCGATCTCGACGATTCAAATTGCATGCAAATGGACTTACAGAAAAGCAAAAACAAGAAATATCAAAAAAGACAGCGGTGGTGTGGGCTTATAAATCCCACACTCGCTGCATATTTTCATGTTTTTTCGTTTTTCCGGGGAAAAAACGTTACACAATGTTTTTTCTTTCGGTTTTACGGGGAAAACAGGAAAACGGTGGTAATTGCATATGTTGAACGCGATATCGGTAATCGCTAATATCGATAGGCGGGTGTATACAGACTGCGTTTGTGTGCGGGCGCTGCTGATGAAATAAATGCTTCATTTTGTTTTTGTTTATTTCGGGGCACATTACGCATTGCCGAAATAAAAGAACTATTTTTTTCGCCTCACGTAAAATTGGTTAATTAACGCGTATTTTACTGCCCACACAGACACGCTCACGCAAACCGCGAAGCCCGCACACACAAACACACACACTCACACGAATGCAAACAATGCGTCATGTTTTCCCACTGTTTAACTAGCATTTCCTAGTTTTCTGGTTTTCACTGTACACGGCCGTACGTTTTTTATCTTGTTATCGCTTTTCGGTCGCCTTCAGGTGGCCCAGATTTTTCCTGGCCACGCGCAACGATTTATCCGCTTTTCCTTTCGGATATAACTCAAGATATATCTCCCGCATTATCACCTGCTGTTCAGCTGATCGTATTTACCTTTCGGATATTTATATTAGCGTGCTATGCAACGGAACGAAAAAAAAGAACAACAACACAACCAGGAATTTATAGTTATAGCTATATAGCTTTATTTGTAAATTAGAGCTGGGTCAACTCGCGATAACTCACTGACGATTGCTTGATATATCGAATATTATCTAGGTCTCTGGGTATCTGGCAAAAGGCTATCGATGTGTTAGTTTCAAATTTAATCGATAGCTGTTCACGTATAATATAATTTCTTCACATTTAATACTTTGTAATATTATATATCTTTATACTTGTAACAAAAGACGGCTTCCTTTGAATTTAATCTTTCTAAAAATTCTTAGCAATTTGGTTTTGCAGGAGAAGATTAAAATGCAAAGGTATGCACCTTAAGTTTAATAAACTATCGAATAGTCAATATACAAACACGAAGAAAAGCTCAACGTTTCCTTATTGGCCATTGAAATATATTTAAAAAAAAAACAAATTTGAAAATTGAAACCAAAAATACGACACAAAAACCGACAAAATGTCTTAAAATTCTGAAATATATTAATGCTATTTATATTTAATTTTTGCATCTTTGTATGACTATATTTTTTCTCCTCTGTAAAAAAACATACTTTTGGCAGTATATTCAAAAAGTGCCACCGAAATCTGGCTAACAGTACCCAAGTATTTTTAGGAACAAGTGTTTTAAAAAAGTTAATAATCCACACTGTTTTATCGGTTGCGATTGAAATTGGATTTAATACGGCCAGACTAGAATTGAACTCATTAAAACGTTGTGGCTCTGAATATATTTGTCGGCTGTTTAGTGAGGTTCAATAAAAAACTACTGGAAAATATTAGAATGTTGGGTTTCCCCTTCTAGGAACAATCGAATAGCTTCTCAAGAAACAGCGACTTATCGAACCACCTGACCATCGCTGTTTGGCCATCTCTAAAAAAAAAGTGGTGCAAAAAGTTGATTTAAATGTTGTTGCCACGGCCAAACTGACGATGCGCCGCGTCCGCTGAGCCTCGTGTCCGCACCCCTGAGATCCGTGACCCCCAGATCCGTGCTCTGGTCACCACCGGAGAACGCGGAAAACCCATATAGACCCCAACATCCGACTGTTTTCGGTTCGTTTCAATTGGTTTGTATTGGCAGAGCAGAGCAGAGCAAACAAACAAACAAACAGACAGGCGCATCGAAAGATACCAACAGGAAAATCGGATAAGCACAAGGTGCCAAAGTATATATCCTCTGGCCCGATTTGGATACGGATCGGCGCGCCATGTCGCAGGTGCTCAGCCCCCGCAAACAGGGCGTGGCGGAGGCGGAGGGGCTGGACTACGCGAACGGCGGCTCGATCATTGAGTTCCTGGCCAAGGAGCAGGACTGCGGCGGCGGAATACTGACGGATCCGGATCCGGAGTCCATTTTTCAGGAGGTGAGCCGCCTGTCCGACAGTACGGACATGCGATCCGTGGACGAACTGCTGCAGGAAGCCGAGCGCCTCATCCAACAGCAGCTGCGTCTGGGCGGGATTGCCCCGGAAATGGAATGTTCCGAGTCTGCTGGACCGCCCAAACCCCTCGCCGAAGAGGCAGCTGCCCCCGGGGGTGATGGCTCCTCCTCGTCCCCGCAATCCTCGCCGCACAGCAGCATCCGTTTGAACACACGCTACACCCATCGCATCGAGCATTTGTCCCTAGCTCCCTTGCCGCCAAAAACCGCTGGAATCAATGGAAAAGTCCGGCCCAGATCCGGTTCTAAGTCCTCGGCCTCGCCTACATCCGTGCAGACGCCATTGGATAGCAATAATGGTTGTGGCTTCGCAGCCTTTGTGGACAACCTGCCCTCAGAGTCGGTCATTTCTGAGGAGTCCACGCCCAAAGACATGGATATGGAGATGCATACGGCGGCCATGGCGCAGCTGCAGCTCCAGCTCCAGGATAACACCGATGACGACGAGGATACGGTGAGTTCTAGCTTTTTTAGGTATATTTTCCATACATTCCTATTGGCATGTAGTTGATTAAGTATTTTTTATAAACATTCTTGGGAAAATCCGTTCTCTATGGTATACGTGATATTTTTATAAGAATAGTATTAATCTGTTGGTTAATTTATAAAACATTCTCTTAGAGATTAAGTTCTCTAATGTCACAATAAAAGGCTTGGACCAGTAATGGATTCCTATTGTTAAAATCCATCTACTCTACTGTGATTTGAATCTACTGATTGGAATTATTTTTTGGGAAGATATACTGGTCAAATTAGTTCTCTGAACAACGACTTTGATGAAGAACCAATGGGTTTCTCTATTTAGATTTGGGGAACATGTTAACTTCACCCTTTTTCGGGGATTACCTTCTAGATCTAACCATTGGATGTCCATTATAGTACCACCAAAATAAGTACCCAAAGTGATCAATCAATTCTACTCTGATTTAAATGTTCTGATTGGAAATTTTGATCGAAGAGATCTGTTATTGAAATGAGTTCCCTAAACAAAGATTTTGATGAAGATGCTCAGTTAGGACTTGGAAACATGTTAGCTTCATCCTTAAACCATTATGCCCACTTATGTTCATTATAGTACCACCGAAATAAGTTCCTCAAGCGATCTGTAGTAATAAATAGCGCAGATTTGTTTATTTCAAGCCGTACAGGATTCAAAGGATACAGCAGCCCACCCCAAACACACACGCTCATTCTCAGTCACCAAAACAAGCAGACAAACAAACATAAATAATCCTTCAGACACACATGCACACACAATTCACAAACACACAAGGTGGGGGGTGAAAGGGAAACCGACAGAGATTACAAATTACACCGAGATGTGGGGAAGATTAGACGGCATTCAACCGGACGAACTGGGACCAATTGCCTGGGCCACCGTCTCCGCCACTGTCCAGCCCTCGAGCGCAGTATCCTTGATGAAGCGCGGCGGCAGGACGAATCCGTAGGTTCCACGATCCCGCAGCTCAATGGTGTACACATACTTGACGCCCAGAGCGGCACGGCTCCAGTCGTCGGAGCCACCGCCTGCGATGCCCAGCACCTCGTGGGTTACCGCCGCCCTGTATGCCGTGCCCGTTTTCTGGACAATTCGCTCGGCAGCCAAGCTGGCCACCCGCTGCAGCACACTCGAATCCTTGACCTTAACCGCCTTGTACGCCCACGGATAGACAATCATCTGTCCGTAACTGTGGAACGTCAGGTACGACTCCAGATTGTACTTCCTCTTGGCCAGGAACTCGGTCACCGCACGCGTTTCCCGCTCCGAAGCTGGCGAGGATCCGCGGTAGGTGTCACTGCAGGGATTCGTCGAGGAACCATAGCCATTCCAGCCGATATCGAAGTTACGGTTGAGATCGACACCGTTGCACTGGGCACGTCGCGATGCAGAGCGATTCTTGCGCCACAGGCGATTCGTCGTGCGACTGTACTCGTAGCCATCGGGATTCATCACCGGCATTATGTACCAGGTTAGGCCGCGAATGTGCGCCGGCTGGTTCTCCCAGTTGGACATCAGTTGGTACAGGATGAAGGTCACCGTGGCGGGACTAATCCATTCGCGGGCATGGATGCCGCCGTCGATCCAGACCTTCTTGTTCTCGCGGGGATTCTCCGAGATTCTGCAGGGGATAAAAATAGTATTTTAGTTTAATTGTTTAGAGGGAAATTGAATAGATTTTCTGGATGGATAAGGGATATACATTTAAAAACCCCTAGTTTTGCAGCTTTTTCTCAACGATGCGTTCATTTTTAGAATTCCTTAGTGCCTAAAAGTAGGCGCTACATTTTTACATTCCCTGTAAATTGCATAATATGATTGCATACGTCTGGGCCTTTGGTTCTATAGGATTAGAAGTTAATATATCAATGAATATTATGCCCTCTCAACTTATTGATCGTTAAAAATGTTGGTTGTTAAAACATATATTTTACAGTTATTGTTATATAGTCTCAAGGTTTCATTCCATTCAATTAATTTCAAACTGTAGGTGTATACTACCTAAATATTGTTTAAAAGCACTTAAGAGACTGTATATATATTATATATATCACGGGGTGTGATTACGTAATATTTGGTCAGTCCCTAATTATAACAAATGCATTGCCATATATTATGAGCTATATTTCTAGGTATTGGCACGAAAAGTATAACTTAGGTAACCCCTTGAAACAAATAAATCAACTTAAATACTTTTAAGAATGCAATAAACTACCGGGTGTTTTAAGATCCAAGCCGGAAAATAATAATGGCTAAAGTAACATTTGCACCTACCTGAGCACTTTCAGATCTCGACCCTCGGCCGTTTGGCCAATGGTGTACAATCGCACAATGTTGGGGAACTTGGTGCGGATCTCCCGCATAAAGCTATAGATGGTGTCCAGATCATGGTAGTCCTTCCAGTGCATGCTGCTCCTGGCCGCCTTTTCTGTGGGTTTTACAAATATACTCAATAAATATATGAAATACCCATTAAGTTTAACTCCACTTACTTGTTCTTTTGCCATGAGCGAATGAACTGCCCTGGATGCCATCGAGCAGCTCCTCATCGATCATTGATTGAATATTCTCGGACAGAATCTGGGGATCCAGGCGGTGGGCGGAGAGAAAGCTGCGCGCCGCCTTCAGTTGATCCCTGGCGATGGAGATGTCCAGGAACTTGGAGTTCTCCTTCCAGATATTGCCGCCGAACTTTTGCTCCAGCATCTGACCCACGGGCACTCGGCGTTGCATCGCCTCCGAGATGTTATAGATGCGCCACAATTGCGCCTCATCGTATCGCTGGGGAATCTCGTTGACATCCAGCTGGGTGAGATTGGAGGGCATCATCTCGCCGGCTGAACTGGCTGCCATAGCCGCCATAAGGAGCAGCATCAGCAGATGAGTTTGTTGCGTCATCTTTGTGTCGTTGTCTCTATCAGCAGGTTGACCTGGAAAAGCAATTCCCTTATCAGTAATCAGTAATCAGTGAGATGTTATCACTCAAAGCAGCTACATTAATTGGGTTCCGATCAGTGCTCAAGGAAAAACTGGCCTTGGAAAACCCCAGTCTTTGGCCAAATATATAAATTGAAAGCTTTAAACAACGATTGTCACGATTTTCATATTGTTATTTATGGACTCTATT